CAATCGTCCCGCGTCGCGTCCCGGATTTTCCTGTCACTTTTTCAATCGCCGATTCTATATCAGAGGCATTACAAGCATTGACGTGCTTCCGATTTTATATTCCGACGCGAATTAATTACAGTATCGCAAAAAAAAAAACAAACGAGCGCGCAACTCGTTATCTAAGGGGATGCTGGAGTGACTCTGCACCTTTTGCACCTAGAACTGTCAATTCGTGAAAACATTTGTGTAATGTACAAATTATATGGCTTCTGTATACAGACCGACAGTGTTCCGCTATTCGGGCTAAATCAGAGAACAGTATGGTATCATTGAAATCATGTTTATAAGTAAAAAAAGATATCTATTCACTTAAGCAAGTAACCTACAATTTATTTAAATGAATAGATTTCTTCTTTGGCTTCTAAAGTTAATGTCAATGATACTACGCTGTTCTCCGATTTAGAATAGTGGAACACTTTAGATCTGTACAGCGTAAGCCTTACAATGTGTGTATTACACATATGTTTTCACGTATTGACAGCTCTAGATGCAAAAGGTGCAAAAAGTGCAGAATCACTCCAGCATCCCCTCAAGTTGCGTTATAATTCATGCAAATCGTTAACCGGGGGACCACACGCGGCCCGGCGGGGAGCGGAAGCGCGCGCGAGTCGTGTTCCAGCCGATTTGGCGGCCGGCCAGCGGGTGATTGCATTATACCGATTGTTTCTTCCGCGTTGCCTAACCGCGAAACAGATTCCGCCTGACCGACAGCGGCTTATCGGTCGACCTTGGCTCACGACGGACGAGCGTCGTCTCGTGTACCGGCTCTAGTGTACCGTACAGCGTCAGCGATCTCTCTTCACGGCGCGGATAAAGCGGCGGAAACGAGACGGCGCGGATTCGAGGAGCATTCGAAGGGAAAGATATCAACGGGCAATCCCTGCTAGGCGCACCTGCTGGGTCAGCGGCATCGATCTCCGGAAATTCACGGCCCACCACCCCCGCCCGTCCCGACCTTATTCTTCGACGTCTTCTCCCGCTACTTCCATGTATCATTGTCTCACACGTCCGGACCCTCGGCAAGAATACGCGGCACAAAACGCCTCGTCCGACTATTGTCTCGGCTACACCCCATTCATGAGGCAGTTCGACTCTCAAAGCCTCCGGTCGATAGTGAACTTAGGCGCTACCCCCACACCATCGCGGCCGCTCGTACACGTACACGCGCGGGTGAAAACGCACATTGATATCGGCACGGAACTATCGGTGGACGGGGCGGATTGTACTTTCAGAATGTCGATACACCGACGATCTCGGAGGACCAGGCAGACGTTTATTGTCTGTCGCTCCTAAAAGGCTTATTCGGCGCGGATACACCGTGAATGGAGGATATAAAAATATTCCCCCGGGACTTCCGGTCGTGTAGATAAGAAGCCGAAGTCGCCCCATATGCGGGGAGGATACGACTTTCTTTTTTACACGATATTCTACGTAAGATCGCGGTCGCTTCGCAGGGAGCGATTAGACGGCGATTGACACGAAACGTTACGCGTTCTATCGTCTTAGCAAACTTCCCGTTTTACGATATAGAAATGTAATGGCAGCTCGGATTCGAAAACACACACGCGCGTCGTTGAAACGTGGAATTTCACGAAGATGCGGCTCAATGGCCACGAGGGTTGTTTTTTTTTCCTGAAACATAATTCTTACAAAGGCCGTCACAAAGTGGAGTAATATGTAAAGACGGTCTGCGGTTCTTTTGCAGCGGCACGTGCAATTCGCATTTCTCTCTTTTTTTAACTCTCGTTCCGCATCGTAGGTAACTTGATTCTAACAAAATAGAGATAACCACAGCGAAAATTGTGTCGGTTAATGAAAATTGAATTAACTGAAGAATATAAAGTCTCGCGCAAGCAGTTTTTTTTTATCGTTTCTCAACGCAGATAATTCTCGCGAGCAAATATGAAAAGGTATCGGACGCGTTAGCTCGCCTTCGCGAAAGGAAATAGGTGCTATCGTATCCAGGAACAACTGCCCGCGAAAATTACGAGATGAGTGGGCAATAAAAAACGCGAGGCTAGTCAACAAGATCATAAATTTCTACGTGCGCTGAATCGACCTGACATTTCAACAGCAGTAAAACCTGGCGCAATGATCATTCATAGTTTATTTTAAAAGCACACGTGGAAAATAGAACAGTACAGACGCGACGTCCCGTGGGAGCTGTTTGTTAGAACAAGGAAAGGGAGCAGGTCGTTAAACAACGACAAGCGACATTTATTGTTTCGGAATACCGGGAGGGGGTACCGGGGGCGCTCGGAGAAAGTTTGGGAAGAGAATATCGCGGTAATTAATCGCGCCAATATAAATCTCTCTCGCAATTTGTCTTATTTTTGCAGCAACAATCATACACAACCTGTACAAATAATAATGATAACGGGGCTTTACGCATCGCAAACATTTCGAACGTTTACGTATTCGGAATCTCGGGGATGTTGGCTCTCGTAAAAAGTTCCCTACGCAAAAGTATACATTTGAGATACATTTCCGCTGTAACAAATAGACCGACGGACAAGAGTCGCGCAAGAATTCAGGTCGTATATTCCGCGAATGTCGATTCTCGCGATGACGGGCTCGCCCCGCGGAAAATGTTTGCGGACCACGTGCATAAACCCGGGCGCTATAGGTAAGTTGGAAATTGTCCAACCAGGTCTCGTACCAGCCGAGAGGGATCTTTTTAACTTAGTCTCATCCGCGGGCGTAGGTACAACGTAAGTCGCGCGCCGTCCGCGTATTTCACGCTAGAATTCGCGCGAACGCTTCAAGAATCCATTTCCATTCGTCACCGTGTCGATATCGCTTTTTCTCGCCATTGATCCTCTCCATCTCCCGAGATAATGGTAATTTATCACGAAGCCTCCGCGCCATCCTGGCTGTCAGATTCGCGCGTCGACTATGTTTCTTCCTCGCTCTCTCTTTCTCTCTCGGCGGCGTTACACGTTTCGCGGATGTTGAACGGCAAAGCTGTCACGACATGAAAAATGTAATATGAGATTTAACCCACAATCTGTTTTGCTTGTCGCAGTACATGATATCTGTGGCAGCGGACGTTCTCGGCTTTTCATTTCTTAATTTTACCTTCAAGCGATGACGTATAGCACTGAATATTCGCAGCTGCTATAATTATTGTACATCCCCGTTTTCATTCGACGGAAACGCATCGCAATCTTCGTGTTGACTTATTAGTGTGTCAAGTTGTTTCGCGGCTGTCGCCTTCGTTTAGTAATGAGGCGAAAGAGGGTAAAATTACATCGTTATGTAAATTATTTGCGAGCGAGAGGACATTATGGCCCAGTTACGACTCGTCCATCGCGGAGGTGCAATTAACGATATTCATTACGGACTAACAGCACCCACTAATTTGACAATTGATGAGAAAACCAGAGTATGTGACAACTGTAGCGTGAAGCACAGCTGACATCTTAATTATCGGAGATGAATTGTGATCGATGTAAGGACAGCATTCGTACAGCATCGATCATTAAGAAACGAATTCTCGCATTTAATTAAAGGTTAATGTTTCAAATAAAATAATTCCACATCGTTTTAATTCTATCGCATTATTAAAGTACAAAACCAACATAAATACTCGAAGTGTCAAGAAGCTTACTTGTTTATTACTATTTTTTCCATGATTTGTCTTGTCTGCAAATTATGAAATCTGTAATATTTCGCAACGTACACAATTAAAAGTGCGAGAACTGTCGTCGCGAAAAATAAATCCGTATTATATCCGCATTTATTCGCCCTCGAATGTTGGATAATACTGACCTTACTTTACACGCAACAGGTTTCGACCTCCGTAATTCGGTTACAAGCGCTAATTTTTTGTCATTTGATTTACTTTTCGTAGAAATAGGCGGATCGAGGGCTCAGCTGATGCTGACGCGCAGCCCCGAATGAGAATTTACACGAGTTGTTTATCCTCGTAAACAGAAATGTTGCGCGAAAGTCATGGATATGCATGGCACATCACGTTCGTTAAGCTCGTAGTTGCGTCCAGAATATTGTCAGACACGGCTCTGGAAACGTGCTGCGAAGATGACGAGCATTTGCTCAGCGTGTATTCCGCGATAGCAAATTTCCCAGCATAAAACACACGTGCATATTCTCTCCGTCCCTCTATCCTCTCGTTCAAGGGATTTCAATTTTCTCTTTACTCTTCCAAATAGTCAACCTCGCGCATTCGATGTATTCAATCGAGCGAGCTTCCAGACGCTAATTGTACCAAACGATACCGGACGCACGGGTCACTACCTGTTATATTTTTTAGAATGGCTACTTGAATTGTGTCGACCGGGAAAAGATGGAGACTCCAATTTCGAGAATGATTGGTCGAGTTTCGACTTTCGAGTGCATCCTCTCATCGAGATCCAATGAAATTGTAACAAGACGTGGAGTGGATAGCACTCGTGTTGTAAAAGTTGGATGGAGAAGTCCCTGCTTCCTCGTAACTCGCCGTCCTGCATCTCCGCGAAGACCCTCGAGATTTTTTCCGCGCTTTCGAGTTTGCTTCGGTCTCCACTCGCGTTGAATAATTGCTCGTTAAAACGAGCCGGGTTCTCCCTCTCGCTTATCTTGGCGGTCCAACGCCATTCGCAGCTCAAAGAGCGCGTGACACTTTTTCCCTTCGCGGTGATAATTACACCGCTTGTAATCGATCGCTTCGCTCAAGTGACAATCGCTGTCAATATTTAATTGACACTGATTCTACGACACTGATTCCCCCCGTTTCTCTCAAACTCGGAAATTTATTTCAACGAAGGAGCTTCGGTATGAATATAATTTACAATATTAATTAACGCGGCGTGTATATTTGCATTAAAATATTCACCCTGCGATGATGAATTACTTTTTTTTAATTCCAAGATATTTCTGTAATTACGAATATTATTACGCAGATGTGGTGGTTCCATTTTCCATCTCCATAACGAAAACTTTCACGTCTCTGCTTTTAGTGCGATTCTGGAGTGGCTGTGGACAGATTCTTTCACGCCTTGTACTCGACGAGGAAGAAGCACCTGATGCCATTCCTGCTCGGCACCGCTTGCTCCGAAGTCACCGAGACTCTGGCCAAAATTGTGCCCTATTGGAACGTGATCCAGGTGTCGTTCGGCTCGACGGCACCCGCACTCTCGGATTCCAACGAGTATCCTCTGTTCCTGCGAACCGTCGCGCCGGATTCGAGTCACAATCCGGCCAGGATAGCGTTGATCAAACACTTCGGATGGGACACCGTCACCGCGCTCTCGCAAACAGGCGACATGTACTCCTTGGTAAGTAGGTCGTAAGGAACACGAATGTCACGTGAATCGGCTGCCCAAATTTATCGGAGCCCAGCATCCCGTCACTTTGATATTCCGCGCCGGAAATAACCCGATCGCAATATCGATGCCGTGCAATTTTTCCAGCCGAAATCGCGCTCGAAACGTTTCAAGTTCACCTCGTCCGATCTGAGATTTTTATACAAACCGCACGGTACACTGTAATATGTTACTTATATATATACTCAGGTTCACAAGTCGATGATCAAATCGATCATGATTTTTCGGACCGTTTGTTCCGATGACGATCCTTCATTGATTTCGTAAGAAGATCCGCATAATGCTTTGTCGATATCTCATCGACGTATAGTCGTCATCTATTAGATGTATACATATGAATGTGATATATAGAAGATATCATGTCAGTGTCGACCGATTATTGATGATTTAGTTGATATCTAATAGATATTCAAGTCGAGTCGGTAGATGGAGAGGTTCATTCGACTTCAATATGATATCAATTGAAATACGATTAGATCGTGGACATCTGCAGAATATTTTTTAGATATCATGATGAAATTGTGTAAATATTAACTTGATTTGCACATGATCTCAGCTTGATTTCAATATGATATTCACCAGCTTCTATATCGACTTGCGTGAACCCGGGAGTGCTAGATGTTTGCGCGCAAAATGTTTTCTGGGACGTTCATACGAATCACTTTTTGGCTAAACGCACAAGCTGACAGGAATAATCTTCAGGGTCGCTAGCAATAATTAGCATCAAGTTCGCTTGAAAAGGACCAAAACCCATGGTCGAAACGTAGCGAGTCGTGAACATAAAAAATTGCCGGACACGGTCAAACAAACTTGACGGTGTTAAATACACAAAGTAAAATATAAGAATTGACTATAAACAAGCCTTAGGCTGCGTTCGGGGAGACGCTATTTAGCGCTATGAGCGTACTCTGTCCTTGTTCAACTTTTGCAAGTAACAAGGACAGAGCACGCTCATAGCACTAAATAGCATCTCCCCGAACGCAGCCTTAGTGTGCACTCAGCGCGCGCTAGTGCAAGCGACCGAATTCGCTGTTAGATTTGCGGTGTATGTAACGCTGAAGCTGTAAATGTGAAATTTACACGTGGAAAACGTAGACGGCGCAATTTTCTGATTTTACATAGTCGAATAAACGGACGCGAGTACGAAATGTTATATCGAAATTTACTTGGCGACTATTCGAAAAATGATGTCATGAAAGGGGATTGAAAATCCCGCGGCTCCTTCATAAAGGACGGCGTTCAGGTTGCAGTTGACGTTAATCGCGAGTTGAAATTTGCGCCAAAAAAATATCCACTTATAAATCCAATGCCTCCTATCGCTGCTTTTGCCGTACGAATATCGAGATCGGAACAAGTGGGATCCGAGGTACGGAGGGAACGCGCAGTGATAGCACGGATCGCGTGCGGCGCGAGGACACTTTCCGCGCTATATTTATATCTGCGTCTCGCTTTACGTGCGTGTTTAATTGCGAACTACACCGCGGAAGTTCGTTTGTGCCCGGCGTGACGTGCGGATCTATACAATGAACTTTCCGTTATGTCGGCTTTAATTAACTTTCGATTTGTACTCGCGCGCAGTTAACCGGAGCACCGCCGCGTTCGGTATCACGTTTCGGTTAATTCTCGGTCAATTTCCGTCGCTGCTCTGTAACGGAAGCTACCACACGTCACATCCGGCTTTAATGTAGTCTAGGAATACATGACGTGCGAACACCCAAGGGCGTCGCCGCGCCGGGATTTCGAAACGAGCGGGCCCGAGCGCGGCAAAATTGCCAATTTATGTCGCGATGTAATTTCTTTAAATCGCTGCACGAGTGACAGAGGTCGTGTATTTTTTTCTGCCCCCGGTATATTCATTCGCAATTTTCAAATTGAATTTCTCCCGATGGAAAGAAGTTTGATTCGACAAATTTCTGATAAAGCGCGAGCAACGCGCGTCGCCCGTCCCTGGAAATTGATGTATTACAAAAGCGGTTACGAAAATTCTGCGGGGATCGATGTGTTACATCCTGCGTCTCGTTAAAATTCATATTGTTCCCAAACCGGGCTTGAACCGCTTTTGAAAATAAACGCTCGCACGCGAGGCGAGGCGCGGCGAGGCGCGGCGCGCGCGGTACGTACGAGCGCGCAAGAGACACCCGCGAGTCTCTCCGTATCGCGGAGCTTGTGCCGAGATAGATAAGAGAATTGCGAGTGGTCGCCAATTAAATTGCGTGACGCGAGCTCGCCGGGAGAAGAACCGAGCGAGCTGGACGAGCGGCAATCCCTTTCGGATAACGGGACGTAACTCCCGTCGCGTCGCCGTGACGTACGATGCGTATTTGTAAGGGTGACACTCCAGTTTTGCGCAAATAGAACGGGGGCGGAGGCAAACGAACGATGCACACATGCCATTTTCCGCCTGTATCGCCGTCGCCGCTGGCAGCCCAGCGTGCGCGCGCGCGCGCGCCTGCCTCAACACGTCGCACACGTGTGACGGCGTCTCTGTTTCAGGCAGTGAATGATCTGGTCACGGAACTGGAGCAGGCGAATATCACGTGCACCGCGACTATCACGTTCGCCGAGAACGATTACAAGGAGCAGCTGCGAACATTGAAGGTAAAACGTCGCGTCTTGAGCGTCAATCCGTCTCCCTCGTCCTTCTTCAAAGACGGGAACTTTACGCGCGGCGCGACCGTCTCGCGCGATTGGACCGAGCGGCCGAGTGATTCGGTCGATCGGGCCGGCCCGCGCGAGTCTTTTCATCCCTTCGGACCGTAATTCGCCTGCTTTGAAATGCAAAGTTCGTTTTCGCGAGACGAACGCCCGGGTATCGATTGGGAGCGCGATATGGACGCATCGGGATTAAATTTGCACTTTGCGGCGTCGGTGTGCGCGGATTAATTCAATTTCTGATCAAACGACGATTCAGCCGTGCCGCGCGAAGACGACTGGGGGAACGTTTCTGTTGATACAAACACTGTAAAAAGCACGGGATGAAAATTCAATCTGGATTAACGCGAAATTGCGTCGCGATAAAATTTTCAATGCGCAATCGTCGCTATCTCTTTTGCTCCATTAGCATCGTTTACATCGCGTTCACATGTATTTAGCGATGCCTCGCCAAGCGGAAACCGAAACCTTTTTTTTTTATAAAAAAAATATACGTATCGCCATTCCAGGAACTGGACACGAGGATCATTATTGGCAGTTTCTCCCCGCGATTGGCGCAGCGTGTTCTATGCGAGGTAAGTTACGAGGGAGGGCAGATTCGAATCTCAGCGGGAGATTTTTATTTGTAGATTGTAGACACTCTCGTAATTACCATAAACAAGTTTCGTTCAAACAGAGGGGAATAAAAGGCGGAGCCCCATTTTTCGGGAAAGTCCTACGGCCGTGACAAAGAACGACAGCGGCAACCACATCCTTTCGCACTAATTAATGACGCTTTTAATAACTCTCGTTACAACCCGTGTAATTTCGGCCAAGTTAGGTCGTTTCGACTACTCATTTATTTCAAAAGTTCCCACAGGTTCGGATGGGAGACCCTCGCGAACAAGAAAAAAAAACAGTTTTGTGGTCGTCGCACGTTCGCCGGGTGGAGTTTAGAACGAAGTAGTTTTTGCCAAAGTAGAAGAAACGTGATAGAACGTAAACAGATAAACCCCGGTCTCGTTACACTCGCAAGAACTTGACGCGTTTTGTTGCGCGCTCAACGACTGTAAAATCCGTTTAAAAGTTTAACTTTCGCAGCGCTCATACTTTCGAACGTCATTACCAATTACCTCGATTAATTATCTCTCAGCGGCAACGCTATTTACTTTATCTCTTTTACAATTATCGTTACCGAAGATAGAACGAAACGCCCCCATTCGCCCAAGTTCCACCGCTGTCGAATGAAATTCTCTTAAAATCTGATGGCGGCGCATTGACGTTTAAATTGTACAATCTGATAAGAGACGAACACACACGTCCATTCGGACACGTTCGATCATTCGGCACATCATTGAGCGCGAAAATCGAAAATGCTTTCGCGTCGAGTATCATGAAAGCAGCACGAGATATATTTTACGGAAAAATAACGCATCCATTATACATAGCTCGAATTTTATGATATCTACTCGACGGTAAGGATTCATCCCCCGTGCTCTCATCCGTCGACACGCACTACATCAACAATACCCTTCGAACTTCACAAGAGAAAAGCGCCCCGGCAATCCCTTGCAGTGTTTCTGGATTTTACGAGCGCTTCAACGTAGGAGCAGCACAATAGTGATATTTCTTCACAAACGCCTACGAAACTGGGGTGGAAAAAAAAGCTCCTCCGCGGAGTGTGCTTCCACGCCCCGTTCCACGACGTCATGAAATTTTCAACGGGGCTCTATAAACTATCGAGCCGAACGGTTCCTTGATTTCCACGCGGATATACATCGCGCGCGTACATCTTTCTCTGGTAACACGACGATTTTTCTTCTATCGCTCGTTAAATTCAACAGCCCCGCTACGTATTACGTATGAAACGGAAGGGGGATATCAAATGTATCAGGCGGATATTATCAATGGCCGCAGTGCCGCGTAAGCATAGGCACGTAATGTCCAAAGTGAGACACAAAGTTTACATTTTCCCTTTGTAATTTGAGGCCGAACCAACCGCGGGTGCTTTCGGAGTCTTGTTTGTCGTGCGAATTTTGAGGTACACATCCGGTGCGCATAGTGATGAACATGCAGATTAGATACTGGAACATACGTAAGCAAACAAACGGACTGATGTTATCAATCGAGGGAGAAGCCCATTTTAGGTCGCGGTGTATAATCTACATTTAGGGCAACCGTCGTTGCCCTAAATGTAGATACCAAAATTATCATAAAGAATTCAACGTTAACAGTTAGTAGATATTACATTTTTGCAGTATGCAGAAGCTAGTCCAAACAATTGTTTGTGTACGTGTGCGCGTCTCAAATTGTTATTAAATTACGAAAAGTGCAAACGCTGTGTAAATACAAAATATGGAACGTTAAGAGATTGCTTTAACTTTAGTGGGGCGAATAAGAATTCTGTAAAGTTGCTATCACTACTTAGCGAGCATTGAGAAAATGGTGGAAGTTTCATAAACGAGCGCGATTCTTCGTGTTCTTGCTATTGTACGTATAACATAATAACCGTTCCCTCTTGCGGGCTCTTTATAACTGCAATTTGTTTATGCAATATGCAACTCGGCGCCGCTGTAAATCTCGTCGGGAGCACGTATAGCAGAACGACAACATGCTTGAGTTTTCAACACGAAAGTTGATTAAAAAATTTATATACAATGCCGGCCAAAATTATATATCACCTTTAGATGTTCCGAGCATAACTTTCATCAAAGTGCATCGAGAATGCGCTCAAAATTTTATAATACACCTGATGTCAGGTGCATCTTGTATGTACACGGAGGGTAATGAAATTCGACGAATTTGACACCACGATTTTCGAATTTACCATTGTAATCTGTAACTTAGTCGAGTAAATAGGTTTCTTGTTAGGTTTCTAAACTTAATTTCAACGGTACCAAGCTGTTCTCTGATTTACACAAAAGCCACATAATTTGCATATTACACAAACGTTTTCACGAGAAGACAGTTCTAGGAGCAAAAGGTGCAAGAAGCGCAGAATCAGTCTAGCACCCGGTAAAAAAATTTTTTATGCATAAATATATGATATTACATAAAATTATACATGAAAATATGTCTATGCATGTTTTTACATTGCATATTTCTATATAATTCAATACAATTCTACATAGTTCTATATAATTTTATAGATTTGTACATGCTTTTATACGAAAAATTTTTTAAAGGAAAAAATTGCTTAGTTATAATTGTATATAACTTTGTACAATTGTACACAATGATATGCAATTATAAATAAGCAATTTTTCACATTAAAAAGTTTTATATATAAGAACATGTGTGCATTTATAAAATTATACAGAACTGTGCAGATTTGTATAAAATTATATAGAAATATACAATGCAAAAATACGTATGGACATATTCGATGTACATTTTTATATAATTCTATATATATTTATTCATGTTTATGCATGAAAAACTTTTTACCGGGCATCCCCTTAAAACTAGTTATGCTAAAAAAAAATTACAAGATGATATAATTTTGGCCGGTACTATATGTGTCAGAAAGTCGTGGAATAATATAATTATATCACATGTATTCCGAAACGTCGACATTCTGTTTTTCTGAAAAGATAGGAAACTGTGTGTGTGCGCGCGCGGTCGTAAGCGGAAATGTCTGACATAAAACACGTCCTAACTACTGATAAATCCTTTCATTATGAATGAAAGGGGTTCGAGTAACGGAAAATGTCTGATATAAAACAAGCCCTGACTGCAGATAAATAGTTTATATCAGATATTTTCTGCCGGACCTTTGTCCCTCGTTAGACCCTTCAACTTCGTGCGGTGAGTTATTTCAATCTATTTTCATTACAATCCGCGTATAATTGCCATTTTACGGGGTTAATTGAGGCGTAAAAGGCGAAGAAAATAATACCAGATTTCATCCGTCAAAATATCTTCGGGGGAAGTAGCGGCGTACTGTATCGTTTTCATATTAAATTTCCAGTTATCCTATTCCTACATATACATCGCTGTAAGCATCGAGTTGAAATTGCAGTCGGTTCGTTGCGTTCCGGAATATATGTGCTACTCGCATCCTTGCCACAAATTACCAAGGTTGCAATAAGTCTCTCCATTTCCCCCTTTCTATCTCTCTCTCTCCCTTTGCTGACCCGTTTGCGCGTGATGCTTTAAATCGTGCTGTTTAGTGCTCCAGAATTTTACGGTTCATTTCACAGGTTCGCCCGCGGTGTTTCCACAGCTGCGTTCCTGCAAGATTAACCCATACATCTCGAAAAATTCAAAAATTCTCACCTATTTTACCGATGACACACGCATTCTCATTTCTACTGCTATTATTCTCGCGTTAGAGTTGTTACTCGGACATTTAGAGAAGCAAAACGTGTTTTAAAAATTACTTTTCTCTTAAAATGCACCCAGAAAATCATGTAATCGTGGAACAACATGGCATTTTGAAGAACTTCATAAGAATGTTTTTACTTTACTAGTAAAATGTATGGTAAAACTTAAAAAAAACTCACAAAATTCTTCGCAATGCCGTGTTGTCCCACGAGCACATAATTTTTTACCTGAATTTAATTTTAATTTAATTTATTGCTGCAAAAGTGAAGTACAGTGAAAAGAGGTAACATTGAGAGATCGAAAGCAAAAGGTGAGGGCATCGACAGAACGTTGTTACAAAGCCTACACGGAGAGAATTTCTTCTTAAAATTTATCCTGAAAATCATGTAATCATGGGACAATGGAGTTTGAAGAACTGTATGAGAATTTTTTGAAATTTTACCATGCATTAATTCTGATAAGAGCGATAGGAGCATATGATGAATAGTGCGATATTTGACAACGTGTTTGTAATAAGATGAAAAGAACCAGAACTAAAGGTAACCCTTTTCAATGACGAAACAAGATTAATACGGCAAATATCACAAAATTTCGGAGATATACCGCTATTTATATTTTCAAAAACTAACTATTGTGTTCTGGTTCTTTCCATCTTATTACAAACGCATTGTCAAATATCGTACTATTCGTCATATGCTCCTATCGCTCTTATCACAATTAATGATCTTCCTCTCAACGGAGCTTTTATTTAATATATCTTTTACCATACACTCTACTAGTAAAATATATACTAAGTATAATTACTTAAAAAAAAGGAGACGAAACATCTCATCTCATTTGAAATCGCGAGACGGTAACTAATTCAGCTGATTTCGCATTTCGGCTAATGCATATAATTTTCTCTCGCTCGCGGCATTGTAGGCAACGGTGACCCTCGTTCTCGTTTCGCAGACATCGCACACTCTGCTGCACGCAGCCGAAGGACGGGCCATTGTATTACAATGCGATCGTGTGTGCCCACGTCAGCGTCCGGTACGGCACGTTTGCATTGAAGTGTGTGTATCGGTTTGCCTTCCGAGTTAGCTCGAGCCAGCACGTAACATACATGACGTCTTACGCGAAACGCGTGTGACACCTTAAACGTCCGCACCTACCTATTTCTCATCGCCTGTCATGATCAGCGCACCCACGTAAAATTTCCCCGCCGTCGCGCGCAGGGGCGATTTCAAATTACACGAATATTCCTCGCGGCACCCCTACGGGGACGTCAAAATTACGGGACGTCCAACGTTAATATCGCATTAAGGATATTCATATCCGCGATCGATGCCTCGCACGTGTTCCCCTGCAAATGGAGATCCCTGGACGCCGCTCCGAGTATCCCTCCATGTCGGTCAATTACGTAAACGACGCGTGAAAATAAATTTCCGGGTACACGGAAGGTCAACCCTTCGCCGAGGGGTGCCATCTCGAATGACCGTGCTGGCGATTCAATAACGTCCATTATTACCGTTCGCGAGATGATCATTAGACGGGCATGAAGTCTTCCTTTGGTTTCACCTTCGATCGTTACGTTTCGGCGACGTTCCATACACGTGAATGGAACGTCGTTTATTACGCCTAGAGGGATTCTTTGTTTCTTTCACGCGCTGCATCGACACGCCCGAGTACAACAAAAAGAGTGCAAATGGGACGAAAAATATCAGTATCCGCGGAATCGATAAGATCATTTTGATAAACGAACAAAACAATCGCACCTCTCGTGCTCTTGTGAACTTAATCGTGCAACCCGAGTCGAATGTATTGGCCTCAGTTTAGCCTCGTGTAAGTTTTTAATTAGGAGCAATGAGGTCGAACTAAAGTCTTTGTGTCGGAGAAAATATATTGAATTTTTGACCTCAGATAGGCCTGAAAAGAGTCGCTATTTCCCTTTTAGCAGTAAAGAGGCCACTGCGAGTGTAATCAACAGTGGTTCAGTGGATCCTCTTCAGCCTAAGAGGTTTCAAAGAGCGTGAAATATTTTATTACATTCTCTTTGAGAGTCAGAATGAGGTTAAACACAATTTTTTTACTCGTCTGGGCCTCAAATTGGAGTTTCAAGCCGACGTCCGAATGAAGACAGAATATTGAGGCCCGTTCGGGGACCAAATACTCGACTCGGGAACAATCGATATGTTAAATGCGAGCAACTCTTTAACTAGACAAAGGTACCAACGCCATGTGATACTTTATTATATTTTCTTGCAGCAGTTACGCGGCTGCATAAAACGCGAGACGCGTTTGAATTCACCTTCATATATCTGGATATGCAGCCACAACTTATAACTTTAAGATATTTTCTCTACGGTCATTAGGTAATATTTATTCAAATCGTTAGTTAGCATTTATTTCAGGAATCGCATTATGTCATACACGTTTACGCGTACAAAGTGACGTATTAAATAGCTTACCGTCATAAATGCTTTGCAACAGCTGCGTGAAATGCCTGTATAAAATGCGCGCCGTTTGTAATAAACCTTTCACAATAATGCAATGGCCGGGCGATCGCATGCAATAAAAGAATTAATGCTCCTTTGCAAGCAAACTGATACGACTGACATCAAGCGTGTCGCGCGCTCGGCAGAATTTTTTCCCGCGGGGATTTTTCTTGAAACGGTATATATATAACTTTCCATACGCACGATTTTAATCCCATTTCCCTCGTTTTTTTTTCCGCCCCACGTTCGATATTCGCTGATGACGCGTGCATAACGAACGCACGAATCTCCGGTGAAACGGACAAATCTTCTATCGATCAATCGGAGAACGGGATAAACCGACGCGGCGGGCACGTCGAATTGCGGCCGGACCGCAAATCTATTATTCTGTTATTGAGTGACAAGTTGCCTCAGAAATTAATATATAATAATGTAAATCTAAACCGCGACGTCGACACACACACGTGGGAGAATCGATCATTTCGAGGAAGAGCGTATCGCTACACGTGCCATGCCGTCGCCTCTGCTCCGACATTAAATAACTGATGCGGTTAAATTAAGAATTCGGATCATGCCCGTTCAATTACCGGGAGCGCGCGCCACGGAGCGTTCGCCGTAAGGAAAATTGCGGGAAGGCGCGCGGAGATGAAAAACCCCGCGGTTAAATATTTTTTAATGGTCACATAAGTTTCCTATCTCCTTCCGTTCTCTCGCGGAGATCACGTGTATTAACGTTATCGAAAAACCGTACTTTACGTAAAGCGGAAGCGCGCAACTATACCCTCTCGCCGCCCCCGGTCTTCCGCGCCGGGCCGCAAATAATCCCAGCCATTAACTGCGCTAGCGCGGCCTTTTGTACACCGGGCAACAACTTTTTATTACCACTTTTAGTGCACTAGCCGTTGCCGCTTGTAAAGAAACGCGGCAACCTGATTTACGAGAATGCTCGATACTTTCCGGACCTTTCCTTTTAGATTCGCTAAGAACTGATAAGCTCTTTACCCCTGCCGGCCCGCGTTCATCTCGTCTGCGTGTATCATTTACTAGTAACAAAATACCTACGTTTATGCTACTTCCACAGATGCAAACATTTTTATATTAAACCCTCTCGAGTTCCGCCAGAATTTTTGATTCCTTATACAAAGCTGCAGTATTGATCGAATTGAGTATTTTAGCGTTGTTACTTTAGATTTTGAAGATAAATTTACGTATATATATACAGGGTGTTTCTTAATGAGTACGAAAAATTTGAGGACATGATTCTTTGTCGACAATTAAGGGGGTTGTTCATATAACCGTATACTCTTACATTCCTCCCTGTCGAGTTACACTCCTCCAAAAGTGGGAGTAAAAATTAGTTTTCTTTTTTTCCCAAATTTGGAACAAGTTAAAGAAATTAAATTTAGTGGGTATTTTCTTTAACTTGTTCCAAATTGGAGAAAGAAAGAAAGCTAATTTTCACCCTCATTTTTGGAGGCGTGTAACTCCACAGGGAGGGACACAGGAGTAATATGCAGGGTTGTAAACCGAACCGAACCATTAAAAGTGTATCCGCTCCGAGAGAACGGATAA